TCTATTACATTGAAGACCACATGCAAAAATTCAAGCCCTTTCGCGAAAATTTTTTTTTCACCCAAATCGTCACTTAGCATGGTTTTGCACTCACCCCTCAATTCTTAAGCTTATAAAACATACTTTGTACTCACAGTACTGTGGGAAGCTAGTGTTCAGTAGCATTTCGACATGTTCTAATGTTCAACATCTTTTAAACAATAAAACCTTCAAAATCTGACTCAGAGTCTGATGCAATTAGTTCTTGGATGAAGGAATCATCAAGTTCAACAGTGTCCTCAGTCGAATTACAGACTAAATCGTCTTCTGTTCCATCCAAATTGTTCGTGATGCCGCACTTCAGGAAAGAGGCAGTGGTCATTTCTGCTGGAATCTCGTTCCATGCTAGTGAAATCCATGAACAGATCAGTTCCTCTGAATGCTTCTTTTGTTGCCCAGTTGCCTTAAATTCATGAATTCCATCAGCCATCCACTACATCCATCTCTTTCTGACTCCATCTTTAAACGGCTTGTTAAAGATACAACAAGGGGCTGGATAATTGACGTTAACCCGCCCAGAATAATAGCAAGATCAGTGTTCTCTCATTTGAACACTGCTTTCACAGTGTCTGTGACATGGGCTTCAAAAGCGTCATAAACAAGTAGGCTCTTTCTCCTTCCCAGGCCACCAAGCCGCCTACACCATGCTTTCTCGATCCAAACCTTCATCTGGTCTGAATCCATCCATCCTTTCTGCTGGGCTGAAACAATGACTCCGTGTTGGTTGTTGATCTTCAGAACGGTTTTTCTCTTGAAGATAACCATCGGCTTTATTTTTTAACCATCCCCACAGCATGCCAACATGACTGTAACTCGATTCTTCCCAATTCCTGTGGTGCAGATTTTGATGGTTTTCTCACTTGTGTTGTTGATCGTACAGTTTGGTGGCATGTCAAAAGTGAGTGGAGTTTCATCCATGTTAGCAACGAGATGGAGTGGGTAACAGTGTTCTTTACAGTGCTCAATGATAAATCGATGAAATCAGACAACCTTCTCCTTGTAATCGGCTGGAAGACGTCGTGCCAAGGTTGTTTTCTGTCAAAGTGACAGAGCATTCCTTTTCATTAAGTGTTGACAACAGTGATTTCCAACCTTAAATTGTTCTTCAGGAATGTTGTACTTCTCATCCTTTACAAGTTCAAGGGCTTTCAGCCGCACTAGGGATGGCAGAATGGCAAGACCATTGTTTCTCACTGATCCACGCCAGCAGATCGATGTCCAACTCTGGCCATGCAGCTTTCTTTGCATGGTTTGCACGCTTCAGTCGTGGCATCTTCTCGAGGTTTTCTTTACTTTTTCGCCAAAGCCTGACATTGCTCTCGGAAACACTGAACTCTTGCTCAGCAGCACGATTTCCATTCTGCTCTGCGAACTGGATAATTCTTAACTTGTCAGACACAGTGTAACTTTGACGTTTCGTGGCGGTAAGTTTTGTTGCCATATCGCAGTTCAGATTGCTCGATATTGACACTCTCACTTGTTGTTTTGCTTATCAGCTGTTTCTTAAATACTCAGTTTAATTTATTCAGGGATCGAAATTGAAAACTTTTAATCGGTAGTTTATTTTACTATGTCAATTAAAAACCAATTACTGCAAAGCTTTTGTGTTTGTTTTGCTTTTATCTTATGCTAATGAGATGCAATGCGATCCGTGTATAATTCGCACTAGAAATTTGAAGGTTAATTTCACGGAAAAAGAGCGCATTATACATGGGTAAATACGGTAATAGGAAGAGCTTTTAAAATTTTTAAAATGAATGGCAATTTGGTATCCCTCGCTAAAGTTTTTTTGTTTTTCTTTTGTTTTTTTTTTTTGCTTAAGTTACCTACAGTGTACTGTGAAGCCACAATAATAACATTCATGTAAACCAAACTATTCTATGTGCAGGTGGAGAATTGTTTTGGAATGTTTTGTTATTTTACAGGCTGTAGCATATCGTCAAATGTCTCTTTTGTTGAGGAGGCCCCCAGGTCGTGAAGCCTACCCAGGTGATGTGTTTTACCTTCACTCACGTCTCCTGGAGAGAGCAGCCAAAATGAATGACGACAACCAGGGAGGCTCACTTACTGCACTGCCAGTCATTGAAACTCAGGTCAGACATTCGAATAGTCGTATTACCAGTAGTGGTAAGGTTTTTTCCTGCGATATCCAGAATAATGAAGACTGCAATGTATCATAATGTTATGGAAATGGTTTAGCTATTATTTCCGACAACTTTAATTGTCATACATTGCACAACTTAAGTGTTACTTGACCATCTGTGGCAATCTTTGCAGTATTTGAAATATGCTCAGAAATACTTATATGGCCACTATGACTGACTGACCTTGTCATATACATAAAGTTATAATTCCATGACTATGGTTTTGGGAAAGTCTTATTCCATACTTGAGATGGTGAAATTGACTTCAACCAATTTGTTACCAATACCTAAAATGTTTGACTTATATTGTCCTACATTTCTACTTGTCTTTGTTCACAGGCAGGTGACGTATCAGCATACATTCCGACAAATGTGATTTCTATCACTGATGGCCAGATCTTCTTAGAGACAGAGCTGTTTTACAAGGGTATCCGCCCTGCTATCAATGTGGGTTTGTCTGTAAGCAGAGTAGGTTCTGCTGCCCAAACCAAGGCCATGAAACAGGTATAGCAATTTGGCACACATTTGGATGTTGTTGTTTAAAATGAATTTTAGGTCAAGATGATTTCCATCTGGATTGTTTGTGTTTTACTTTTCCTAGATGCTCTTTGGGCTTGTCATATAATCAGAAGAATGATTGTGTGATGATTCCAAAGAGCAATCTTGTAAGAGGTGGCACTACATAAAGACATAGAAAATTGCATATGAAATCAGTAAATTACAATGTAAATATAACTTCTTCCATTATCCAAAAGGTGGTTTTAATTGAACTTAAAAGAATCATTTAAAAGTTTCATTTTGAAGTGATTTTTTATTAATTTTAATTAGTGTTTATCAGTTACCAGTATTTTGACAATGCAACTTTACAATAAGAGTGTTTTTTCCTTGTTTGGCCATCAGGTTGCTGGATCCATGAAACTTGAGCTTGCCCAGTATCGTGAAGTGGCAGCGTTTGCCCAGTTTGGTTCTGATTTGGATGCTGCTACCCAGTCCCTCCTCAACCGAGGTGTCCGTCTTACTGAGCTTCTCAAACAAGGACAATATGGTATGTGGCCAAGATGGGGCTTATTTGCTGTCACGTGGTGGTTATTTTACAAGGGTTATGTATTTGGTATTTAACTTAATGATGCAATGCTGTTATTCCCTCATTTGATTGCTTTTCTTTTACTAAAAATTAATGGAAATTACTCCATGGCACCTCCATGGAGTAGAATCCAGAGAAAAACCCTCAGAACAAGGACAAGAACCAATGAAAAACTAAACCCACATACGTGTATGACTCCTGGTGTGGGATTTGAATGCATGCCACATTGGTTGGAGGCAAGGGTTCTCACCACTGCATCACCCCCTGCCGCCACACCCTTTCTAAACAAGGTTAGAATCCCAACTGGTGTTGTGTAAACCAGTTGGTTGTCTACAAAGTGTGGCAGGGGAGTGGACCTTGAGACTTTTGAAGACCAATACTGAAGACCAGTGCTAGCGGTCAAGTGTAGAATTTGAACCTGGGAACTTCCAGATTTTATGGCTCATTATAACTAATCGTAGACACTTTCCAATCTCTAATTGGGCAAAGTATTAGGCACAAATTTAAGACATCTCTTGAAGATGATGGGTGGGATGGGATGGGGAAGAGGGGTCATGTGCAAGAGTGATAAGAGGCATCTGTTTTCTAAGGGAGAACAAATTTTTCCATTATCCTGACTTAATCAGTGAGACTGATAGTTGGCTAGTTCCAGCTTATTTCATGTATCATTCAGATGGTAACAGAGAAACGTTTTGTTGTAGTTCCCATGGAAATCGCTGAACAAGTGGCTGTGATCTACGCCGGGGTCAGGGGTCACCTTGACAAGGTGGATCCATCACGCATCACAGCTTTCGAAGAAGCCTTCCTGAAACACATCCGATCGACACAGAAAGATCTTATCGAGACCATCAGAAAGGAGGGCGTCATCTCCGAAGACACTGACGCCAAGCTCAAGAAAGTTGTAACGGAGTTCATTGCATCATTCGACTGATTCGTCTTAAAAAAGTGTTAATATTTTTTTCACCCCAGTTTGTGTAAAATGTGTTCTCTCGAGAAATCATCAGGCCGACATTTTGGCAGTCCTAAAACTATTAGGGAAATAAATTTTACAAAAGAGTAATGTAAATTGTTGTATCGTGATGATAATAGTACTAAAAAAGACGTCAGTCGTAATCGTAGAGAACAAAATGTTGCACTTCTTTTCCCAATGATATCTTCACCTGGTTCTAAATTACGATCAGTCTCAATTAAATCAATCGAATCAAAAAACGGCCCCTAGCGGAAAGAAGGGCAAGTTGAATTGAGACAACGGTTAGTTACCGGTATCCGTTTTTCGCGGTGTTCTTCAAGTAAAATGTAGCACGCTATAAAGCCCCATACCACGTGTTATTAACGAGTGATTAAATAAGAGAAGAGAAAGAGACTGTCCGTGAAGGGGAGAAGCCGGGCTGTGGTGAGGGAGGTTGGGGGGGCGGGAAATCAGGGGATGATGATTTCAGTCCAGGCACAATTTCTTTTTTTACTCCACGATCAAAGTCGCTTTAAGCCACTGATACGCGTTAGCATTTACGCCACTAAAGACAAGGGTAAGTTTAAGTTTTTAGTTCGACTTCAAGACGCTACGCCAGGTATTCTAGCTGAACTAACTCCGACGAGCGATAAATAGATAAGAGAAGTCAATGCAAGAGGTCTTGTAAACTGCAGTGGAAAGACTAGTCGACGACAACACCTTGGCAGGGAACGGACGAAAATTCAGCTTCCTAGTAACAGGATTGAAAACCTACCACTAAACATACAGAATACCAAAAGTTTCTCAACGGACTGGTGGGAGTTCAAAAAGAATATTTGCTTCAGAGGTTTGTGGAGAGAGATTTTCGGCGTGGGCCTATTGGGTGGCGTCGCTATGTTAAGCAGAGTGAACTGTGTTTCTACAAAGCTTACAAATAATATATAGTGTCAGCGTTTCGTGGCGTAAACGCCCGCGTAGAGAAGTGTTCGCTTGTATTTTCAGGCTGGGATCAAATAACGTCTCCCAAATGATTTTCAAATACAGCTTTAATGGCGAATTTCTGTCCTCTGGAGACATCTTTTTTGGAAAATTGCTTCGTGCAATCATGTCGACAGCTAATGTCAGCTGGTTGGAGTCTTAAAATAGTTCAGTCCCCAAAACGATAGTCTTTCAAAAATGGAAATTCCTGCATTTGTTGTCTAACTAAGTCTTTTTGTGTTTCTGTCCATACAAGATTGTAACGTGTCTTTGTAGCCTTGTGGTATACTATCTTGGAGCAATCTTCAAGATACTTCTGATCACATGTAAGATCTAAAAACTGACAAATCCCCAGAAGAGTCTCTTGAGGGTTTTGGATCATTTCAGAGCTGTGGATCTCGTACACTTGGCCAGGAAGGTAGCTCTTGAGCCGACTATTTATCTCTGCTAAACGGAAATACTTCCTAATCTCTTGATCTAAATGCTTAGGCTCATTTAACTGAAACGAAAAGTTAAAAAAAAATTAACACCTTAGTTAATTGGTTGCCTGAAGGCTGCTTTTCTTTAGCACATAAGTATTGTACTTAGACGCAGTGAGGTGTTCCCTGAAAGTAGGAATAAAATTGAAGTTGGTAGTAAATCCCAAAATTTTGACCTCGATGGATCATTCGGGACAGCCCAAAAACATTGGATCGGTATTGGTTACTCCTGCATAACAGAGATTTTTCAGAGGTGAATATCAGAATCAGCCATGCTATGCTGTTTGTCACGAAAAAGGGTGCGTTTCTTCAAGAAAATCCAAGATTGGATTCTTAAATCCGAAAGAATCCGAAAACGGATTTTGCGTTTCTTTACTAAACAGATCAATCCAAGATCTGTTTAGTAAAGAAACGCAAAATCCGTTATCGGATTCTTTCGGATTTAAGAATCCAATCCAAGATAATTCCCCTGAAATAAAACTGCCGATAGATTTTAGTTCAAACTTTGTCCACTGAATATTTATCATATGATAACTTTAATTATAAAAAAAAGGGGGGGGGGGG